CCGAACAGATGTAGAACGTAAGAACTTCCCTTCAAACCCTATTAACTATATCTTGGTCCGCTTCTTGACTTTGCGATACAAATCCTGCTCCTCCGTCCAGGCATCTTCAAAAGTAGTTGGTAGCTGCTTGAAATGCTCATCTCTGTGGCCTAGGTACCGTACCATTTGGAACGCGCCAGTACCAACTGACATAGTTTGTCCCATGATAATCTTCTCACTCACGCCCTCGATACGATCTGCCTTCATTCCAGCCGCGGCATCGAACAGGTGGTCTGCCGTCTTCTCAAATGATGCCAGTTGCAATACGCTGTCTCGCATCTTGGATAGACCGAACCGAGTAATACCAAGAATCTCACCCTTATACGTCATAACGTCGGCTAACAGCTCCATATGTCGTGGATCGATATCCATATCGCCCATGACACTCGAGATTTCTGCGGCAATAGTAGTTCGTGCCGCTTCGATGCCAAGGACGTCCCGACATTCAAGAATGCTGTTCGTACGGACCTTGGTACCGATAACACCTTCAGTATTTATGCACTGTCGGAGACCATAACCCTCGACTAGTACAGTATAGTAGTTGATTTTGTTGTCCTTTTTGTCTTCTTCCGTCTGAATGATTGCACGAGTAGCATCTGGATATCCGGAGATCGGAACCGACGGCAATACACGCTTGAGGTGGCTCACTCGAACGAGCAAGTCAGCTGCCGCCTCTGCGATAGCCGCTTTACTTTTAGGTGCTCGTTTGGCCAAGGAATCCGCGTCTGGGGGTCTCACGGTTATCTCAATAGTTGCATCTTGCTCGAATACTTGAATATCTGAATCAAGGATCTTCAGCTTCTTTTGTTTGTAAATGGCGCGTTTAATGTCCTCAAGGCCGATACCAAGATGCATTCCTTCTAGGGCCTCAGTGTTAATATGAAGGGTAATGAATGCCCTGTGTGGCCCCCATTCGTCATCAACGTATCGAATAATATCCTCGATATATGTCTTCTCGATTCTTGCCCTCACAAGATGTGCCACCTCAATCTGTCTGTTGTTTTGTAGAGGACAAGTGATAACTGGTGTACTGATCAACTTTGAGGCGTTGATAATTTCCTTGATACGTGGTACACCTTGCGTGATACTCATTCCGGCAACACCAGCAAAATGGAAAGTCTTCAGGGTCATCTGCGTTCCTGGCTCACCAATTGACTGAGCACCCACTGCTCCTACTGCATGGCCCGGTTCGACACGCGCTTTAGAATATTTCTCTAGGCATAGCGCAATGAACTTTCTAACCGTACGTTCGGATACCTTTGCGACCCTCTCCGACGCTAGTTTTGGAACTGCCAAGGCTGCTCCCTTTTCTTTCTTGTGTATTGTCGCTACTGATCCATTAGGTTTGGTAAGCATAGGTTCGAGACCTCCAGCAGCTCGGAATTTAGATAACTTCTTCGCTAAACCCTCCATATGTCCATAGACGGTGTCGAGGAACTTTCGAGCACTCTCATGCTCATCAATAGCATAGTCGCTATCGTCTCTGTATTCTAGTGGCTCTCCGTGTAACAATCCTCGTCTCCGATAGCGTTCGCGTTCCTTCTTGAGGATGGAGTCGCAAAGCTCCAGGATCTCAAAAGGTAGTAACGCTTTATCAGAATTTTTCCAAGTAAGAGCTTCGGCATGGGACCAAGTTCGAGCAAAGTTGACTGGCACAGCTTTACCTTCCATGTCGACGGGATCGAGCTTGTCTGCGCCGAACTGGAATTGCACTACGCCTCCGCCCGAGGTTCTGACGGTATCATCATATTGAGTTGAAAGGTCTTCTAGCGACTTCATTAAGCGACGAGACATATATCCGGTTTCTGCGGTTTTGACGGCCGTATCGACCAGACCTTCTCTTCCAGAAATAGCGTGGAATAGGAATTCAGTTGGCACTAGGCCAGTGTAAAAGCTATTTCGAACGAACCCCTTTGCTGGGGCTTGGCGGGTGTTCTTATGGAAGTGTGGAAGAGTTCGATCTTGGAAGCCATCAGCGACACGTTTTCCACCGATAATTTGCTGCCCGACAACGGCAACCATTTGAGCCACGTTGATAACTGAACCCTTCGATCCGGACGAAGCCATAATCCAAGGAGCGTTGTTTTTGCTTAATGTCTTGATACAATAGTCTCCCGCGGCTTGACGAACTTTGCTGAGGGTACCGGAAATTTTGTTTTCTAGTGTTTCTTCCATACTACATCCTGCCGCTTTTGGTAGTTTATTCGCATTGAACTGCTCGATAAAGACGTCTGACTGTTGGTACGCGTCCTCTACGAGCGCTTGTTTCTTTTCAGTAAGAGACGCAGTAGGGTAAACATCGCCGATACCGATTGAGAAGCCGCGATTCGTTAATACTCGCGCACAGAGCTTGGCTAATCGATTCATCGTCGTGACGGCTGCGTCCGGACCAAAATCTCTGAGAATAACATAAAAAATAGACTCTTTCTTGCCTGCCCCCACAGTGGACTTGTCCATCCTGCCGCACATGACTTCTGAATTTCTCACCACTAGCCAACCATCGTTCGGGCACATATCTGGTGCTAGAGGCTTTTGGCCTGGCTGAGGTGGCTCTGGATCAGAGAACTCTTTGCACTTGGCATCAAGGTTGACTTTAACAGGCGATGCCTTGTTCGGACGCATAAGCATACTGAAAACTTGCTTCCCAGTCCAAAGCCGCTTAGGAGCAAAAATGGCCGGAGGCGGAAGGTCGAGATGAGTGACACCGTCCATCATTTGCATCACTACGTAGGTAAACGTCCTGCGATCGTAGAAATTATCTTTACTACTAAGCAGATACGCAGCCGTAATGAAATCCTGCGTTGCTGCAATAATAGGCTCTCCGTTCTTCGGCGTCGCTAGATTGTGCTTGACACCCATGAGTTCCATGGCCTCAGCACGAGCTTCTTCTGTCTGGGGAACATGGAGATTCATCTCGTCTCCATCAAAATCGGCATTGTAAGGCCCGCACACACATTCGTTGAGGCGAAAGGTTCTCCATGGTCGAACTTTGGCAAAATGGCTCATAATACTAAGCTTGTGAAGCGATGGCTGTCGATTAAAAAGGACAATATCATTATCCTCGAGGTGTCGTTCAACTATATCTCCTTCGCGCAAATCTCTAGCAGCTGATTCCTTGTCTGCAAATCTTAAGGACACTTTGAATGCTTGGTCACCGTCTTGTTTTAGGATGGCTTGGGCTCCTGGCCATACGTAAGGACCGTTTAGTACGCATTGCTTTAGCTTATTGATGTTTGCGCGGTTAACTCTTTCGGGATACGTGAGGTTTTTAGCGACGAGCTCGGGCACGGCAACCTGATTAATAGCTAAGTTTGGATCAGGAGAGATGACAGTTCGACCGGAGAAGTCGACACGCTTTCCGGACAGATTACCACGGAATCGACCCTGCTTTCCTTTCAAACGCTGACACACACCCCTCGTCGTTTTCATACCACTACTCTGTAGACCGGGAACGTCGCTGTTTACATATACCGCAATTTGCAGCTGCATATATTCCCACTGTTCCATGATGGTCTGGAGAGCAGTGCCCTTTTCCAACGCAGCACGGATGAGACCACATGCCCATACTATGTCTCCAAGACGGGTTGTGAGGTCGTCTTCGTTACTCGCACCCTCCTGGGCCACGGATGGGCGAATACACACAGGAGGAGCAGGGAGGTATTGCCATAAGAACATTTCCGGCCGTCCCTCTGAAGGATCAAGTCCAAGTAACTCGCAATCAGTAGGACTGATCTGCTTAAACAAGTTTAGAACCCTGAGGGGATTCAAATCCTCGAAGGCCTTCCTTAAATGCTTATCAAGGTCGTGGACATGCTTCTTTGCTTCCAAAAAGGAGTTATCAAACTCAATCTTACTTGGCGGAGGCTGCTTCTTCTGCGAGGTTGACTTATTGTACGCAACAAACTTGTCATGGACAATTTTAAGAGCTCCAACTTTTCTAATTTGACCATTCACCGCGCCACAGTATGGGCAATTCTTCGTCTTTCTACATTGCGCATTGATCTTTTTGCATATAGCGCTTCGTCGCATGTTGTCGATAAAAGGTCTTCTCAGCTCCTTGAGAAACATTCGTCGTTCTGGCTCCGTTAACAACACCCGGGAGCAGTCTTTGCATATGTTCTGCAAGATGGTTATCGTAAACTTTATATAACCGATGTGGAAGGCCGGTAGAGGTAGTCGGATGTGGCCAAAGTGACCAGTACAATCTTGTAAACGAAGGCCACATGTTGAGCATATACCCGTCTTGCTCGACGTTCCCTAGGAAAGACTGACATTAGTACTGATGCTAAGAAAACCATGATTAATCATAGCAACTTACCAGCCTTTTGTCAAGTATACCATTCTGTGTTGGTTCTCTGCCCCTGTCAATATCGTACATAGTTCGATCAGAAACTTCTATGACAGCTTGGTTGACAATGTCTTGATTAGACTGGATGCCGAACTTGATCTGCCTGAATTTCTTGGGAAGTTTATCCACAACCTGGTGTTTGACCGGCGCAGCCGAGTGGGTGATCGTAGTGGTCGCCATTTTCCGTAGTATTTATGACGGGCGCGTCGCAAGAAAGCTCTTTCGCGAGAGGGGTCTTAATGTCAGTCGGAATCAGGTATTTTATTGCGCGCCCCAGTCGCTGTGTGTAGGAGATGATTCATTCCATACAGTAGTTGAAGTTTATCGTTGGGATAAAGAGAATAGGATGAGGGTAGTGTATAGTAAAAAAAAAAAGAAGGAGAAGAAAATACCATTTGCCGCCACGTTGAAGTCTAAAAACGAAGCTCGATTCAATGGAAATTTTAGTTTCGCGAAAACTCAGGCTAGTTACCTGAGATGCGGTTAGAGTCATTCTAGTTCGTGCCCCACCATCCTATCGGAGCCGATAACTCGATAAGGATGGGGTAGTGGGGTTACGGGTACTTTTATGCAAGCGCGTGCAGTACCACCTCCAACCTCAGCTTTACATAGTGCATATGTGGTCGTCATAGGCAGGGGTTACGTTATTATGCTGCACGCTGCACTAAAGTGCCAATTTAAGGCTGACAAGGACAACATGAACAAGATCAATCCAATTACCATGTGATATATCCGTTCCCACGTGTAAATATTTCCTACAATACCTACCTACCTACGATACCAACATCCTATTCTCTACTCTAATAGTAAGCTTTATTTTATGTATATTATTATTATATAACTTATCTCACCGAATTGCTCATCTCGGACCCAACAATTCATAATTCCCAGTCTTACCGACTCTATCTGAAGAGTTATAAGCGGGCCAGACAACCGATCCTAATAATAGCTTTAACATATTTGACACTTGGCTTTTTAAGTTCGAGTTTCTTATTTGTTACATTATTTAACCACTCGTTAAGTTGGCGAATTTGCTGATTTGTGTCCCGCGAAGCTTCACAAGTGTCCGTCTACCCTTAAGACCGGTCAACAATCGACTCTCCAGCGTGTCTAAGAGGCGGATCTTCGGATGGCCACCCGGCCTCTCCGGTAAGATGTCCACAGAAAATAGCGATGCCAATGCACCCAACGACAAGAAGGAGGTCAAGAAGGTAGAGAAGTCGTATCTAGCTAGCGCCGTAGATTCCATCAACCCGTGGACCACAAATCGAAGCACCACGCCGACTCCGAAAGATGCCGCTCCAAAAACGAGTAAGCCGGTACCTACTAGGAAAGCCGAGGATCATAGCACAAACACTCTTTACGGCCAGAGTTTCAGAAGATACCCGTTGGATTGCCCGCCGTTGAATGTTATGTGGTTTCATGCTGTAGATGTGAGTGACACATATTGACGGATCTGCCTTACGCCTCGCCTTACTCACAACTTTTTAACTTTTCTTTTTATTATCAGGTCCCCAAACGGAAACCAAATTTCCTAAAGACGAAGAAGAAAGAAGAAGACGGAGCCAAGCAAACGCCACCGAAGAAATTTGTCGCATTCTCTAAGAACGATTCCAGATCGATCGAAAATGCCTACCAAAAACTCTTGGAGGAGCTCGAGGACGAACGAGGCAAGGGTTCGACAAGCAAGCAAATACGCTCAAGTTCTCGACGGAGGAGAGCTGTGTCATCAGAGGATGAACCTAATACCAGCATTGATGGGGAGAATAGTCCGCAACAAGGTGGTCTACGGGTCCCGGTCAACGAAGACTTCCTGTTCGATGTCGATATAGAAGAACGTGAATTGGCGCCGGTATATTGGTTAGGACCCATTTACGAAGTCCGCCGTGGCACTTGGTTCTATCAAGAAGGATCCACCTTGCGACCCTGCGAGGAGAACCTGGCGGCTCAGCTCGAGGAAGGTTACTTGAAAATTAAGCCATGGACGTATCCTGCACCAAGCATTCGCAGTAGCTCCGGAGTACAGGATGTCACCCCCAAACCATCCTCGGAAAACCTAAAGGCGGCCGCCAAGTTGCAGACTGACGGTTCACTCAAGTCCCCTCAGCTCCCAGTGCAACACCAACCACAGACTTACCGGCTCTTCGGTACTTACATGAACAGTATAGCAACTTATCAGGACTCAAACACTGCATGGCTATCCTCAGAGAGTGTATTTTCCTGGGTAACATCGACGGTATATCAAAGATTTGCTGGCGGTGGTTATATGAATGGTGTAAAACTTGTGCGTGGCTACTCGGAGCCTGGAAAGACAAAAGACGGGAAAAGGCCACCTACACCCACGACCGCTACTCTACCCCCCGAAAAAGTGGACGACAAGCAAGAGAAGGCCATCAAGCGAAGATCTGCCCCGCCTAGTACACGTTCAGATGATACTTCAGACCTAGATAAAGAAGATGATGAAACTACAACAGAGGCTCAGCGTCGAGAGAATCGCCTGAAGCGGCAGTTTTCATCATTTATCGAAGCTTCCGAGGACCCAGAGAAGCAGGATGAGCAAATTAGAAAGCGTGAGGAACAAGAAATCCAGGACGACTATAATGGACAGGACGGTGAAACGCAAGGACGTGACATCGAGCATCTTGTTCTCGTTACCCACGGGATCGGGCAGCTCCTAGGACTTCGGTAAGTATCACCATACTATCGCGACATATTCTAGCACAAATTTTAATCTGTACTTCCAGGATGGAGAGCGTCAATTTTGTCCATGATGTTAACATGTTGCGAAAAACAATCAAGGGGGTGTATGCACATTCAGCAGACTTGAAAACTCTTAACAAGGAGAATGATAACGGGCCCGGCAATTGTAAAATCCAAGTTCTCCCAGTTTGCTGGAGACATTTACTGGATTTCCCCAAACGACGAGAAAAGAAAGGCGAGACTGACTTAGGTGACATCGGAGATGAAGAGGATGAATGTAAGTATCCTACTCAAGACTTTTAGCCATCTAGCTATGAATTAACAACTCGCTAGATCCTTCTCTGGAGGATATTACTATTGAAGGGGTCGCATTTGCTCGTTCTCTTATATCAGACCTCGCTCTGGACGTTCTACTATACCAAAGCGCCTACCGAGAACAAATTGCTGAGATAGTCCTAAAAGAGTCGAATAGGATCTATAAGCTCTTCATGGAGCGAAACCCCGACTTCAAAGGCAAGGTTCACATTATCGGTCATTCGTTAGGCTCCGCAATCATGTTCGATATCCTCTGTAGGCAGAAGGAGAGATCAAAACCACCAGAGACACCCCGTCACCCCCTGCGCTTCTGGCCCTCTCAAGAGCGGTTTGAACCTTCTCAAGACCATCGAGACCTTGCCTTCGACTTCGAAGTAGAAGACTTCTACTGCCTCGGTTCGCCGATTGGACTTTTCCAAATGCTCAAAGGGCGTACCATTGCAGCCCGGAGCAAGCCAAATGCGGCCTCATCTGAAAGTCCCCTCAATCCAGAAAGCGTAGAAGACCCATTCCGCTCTTCCATTGCATCAGATCAACGCATTTCAGCCATTACAGGTCATCCATTCTCAGTATCGTCGCCAAAGGCAGGACAATTGTTCAATATATTCCATCCTTCTGATCCGATCTCTTACCGCCTAGAGCCACTAATCTCACCCGCTATGTCGTCCCTCAAACCCCAAGTCTTACCCTATACCAAAAAGGGCATCTTCGGTGCTGTAGCCCCACAAGGATTATCAGGCCTCGGCGTCAAAGTAGGCCAGAGTGTCAGCGGACTCTGGTCTAGTTTCAGCGCCGGCATCGCCAGTAGCATCCTTAACCGCAGCCTTGGGCTGAGCAACGAGGACGTTGCGAACTTTAACGCCGCGAATAGCAATAACAATCCTTCACAGCCAATACCTCCCGGAGCCGGTACGAATATCGTTTCCGGCAGCGTTATCTCCGATACCAATGCGCAGTCCGAGAAGACAGACGCGCGGAAGAGGGCGCTGGCCCGCCAGAACTCATCAAACGGACCAGGGGGTAGTTCTAGCTACGACGCAACGCTCATCGACGATGAACTCGAGACGCTATACTCCCAATTCCAGAGGAAGCGTGTCGAGGAGCATAAGAATAGCGCCAGTCGCGCTGAAGAGGGCCAAGAGCTTGGTGAGGCGTGGGCGGCCGAGGAGCTGAAGGCGCAGAAACTACGCAGGGAGGAAGCGAAAGTGCGCGCCCTGAATCGAAATGGCAGGGTTGATTACAGTATCCAGGAGTAAGTCCAAATTGTGTCTTTTTCTACTCTTTTTACGCCTACGGTAAAGAGGGAGCAGCCTCAAATTCAGAAGCAGGGAGACAAATAGCAATCGCTAACCAGTTATTTCATTACCTAGAAGCGCGCTTGACTTCAACCCTATTAACACCATCGCCTCGCACATGAGCTACTGGCAGGACGAAGACGTCAGCCATTTTATCATCTCGCAGCTCTTATCCCGAAAGAAAGAAGACGAGAAGCAGAAAGGAGACCAACTCCTTCTCCGCATTTGAAAGAAGAATGGCTTATTCTCCTGTTTGCTACGGATTGCATCACGTCGCAATACGTTCGTTTAACCTATGACGTTTTGTATACGCCATAACCCATTACGAATCCCAAGCAGCACTACTCAATTATCTCACACGAAGAATGAATATATTTAACTATCTTAGCTACCGCGGTACATAGCACCTAGGAAAGCTCCGCTTACTTTCGCGCCGCACCACAGGTGTATAGCACATGACGAACACGCCCTCCCACAATGCAGATCGCAACCGAAGGCAAGCCAGGTACCTCGACGCCGTATATACTCATACCAAACACGGAGCTACATAGGCTTAGGATCCTCAGAATCGTAGTCTATCGATAGAGATAATGCTAGGCTCGGCCCATACATACACTACACCTTTCAAATTTCCCCTCTTCCCCTTTTCTGGAAAAAACGGAGTTGGCGCCGGATGGATTGATTGGATGGGCGTAGATAATATGTATGTCGATAGATACCTAGATACCATTTTAAATAGCATGATAGAGTTAGGCCCGCGGCCCACAACAAAACAACGACGTTGACGATGCCTTCCTAGTACATAGGTATATAGTAAGTAACTATCTGGTGATTAGGCCTGCCTCTTGTTTACAATGTAGAAAACAAAAATATCAGTACGATAAATGAATCCGAGGTCTCAAATACCATTCTTCCCATTGAAAGCCTGTCACAATCGAGACGGCCTACGACATTATAATTCCATTATAAGAAGTATCGTCCTCAACGCTATCTAAATAACGTGATTCCGGCAACCCCAGATTACGATAATATCAGGGGCAGGAGGCCATGGCAGTGTAGCCTAGATGCCCTACAGGATACCAGCTTACAATCAGGCCTACAATCAGCGAAGTGATTCCAATGCTAACGAGTCAAACAGAAATATTCAGTCAGAAGAACACAGCCGGAGGCAATTAATGAAATTCATTCGCATTCAGCGTTCCTAAACTGGGAACAACCACTGCGCGGAAGTGTATTGTATGGTGCTAACGCAACCAGAACGAGAAACCCTGCAATGTCCCTAGCAAAGCAAAACCATGACTCCGTGTTCCGCAACAGAACTTTTCCGGATCCAGGCCAGATTTTTTCCCATTTTCCATTGTGCCATAATTCCGACCAAGTGAGATTACTCGAGTTTACCAAATCACGACCTGCCATAGTAACCCACCCGCTTACGCGAAGGGTGCCCATAAGAGAATATACAAAGGGTGTTTGTCGAAGATTATTAGAGATTGACCCTCCCAATCATCCACTGCTCTGGCAACCTTTCCAAAGGCCACGGTCGCCATCCACCTTCATAACTTGCCGAGAAGAAATTGAATTTGTAATGAAGTCATCGCGTCGCAGAAAAAGCTCGAGGTATCTTCGTGGCGAATCCGCTTAATTAGGGCACTGAGACTGGACGTGTCCAGGCTGCTGGCACTTGTAGCAGATCTTCTCTCCACCAGTCGAGGGTTTGGTGCAGTCACGGGAGAAGTGGCCATTCTCACCGCAGTTGTAGCATTTGCTACCGTTAACACATTCGCCTATAGCTAGATTAGAATGAAAGCATATGCCTTATGAGTTCAACTTTACTCACGAGACATGTGGCCATAACCACCGCAAGAATAGCAGGTCTTTCCACCTTGGCCACCGCCTCCGTTATAGCCGCCGCCAAAGCCACCACTTCCTCCGTAGTTGCCTGAGCCGTACGATTCAGTGCAGTTACGGGCAATGTGACCAGGCTTACCACACTATAACCTAAGAGTTAGTTTTACGATGATAGCAAAATAGGCAGTATTGTGAGAACTTGCCTTGTAGCACTCCTGGGAACCACCACCACCACCTTGGGGGCCGCCAGCCGGAGCGCCGCTCTGAGGGCAGTCACGGCTTATGTGACCCGTCAAACCGCAGCGGTAGCATGACTTGGTGTCCTTAGGACCATCAGGGCAATCGCGACCTAAAATGATCTTCTGTTAAAGGCTGTTCAGTTGAACTTGGGAAGGCGCTAAACTTACTGAAGTGACCTTCACCACCACAGTTGTAGCTATGAAAATGTTATTATAAAACATTCATCGAACCAGAGGTGAGAATATTTCTTACCACTTGGGCGGACCACGGTTAGGACATTCTCGGGTCTGAGAATTTGTCAGTAGATAGACTCATACAGATATACCGCCTCGCAGCTCAATAAGCTCCTTTTGTGAGACATACCTGATGTCCAGGCTGACCGCCTACGTGAAGTGATGTTAGATGATGCCTCGCCCACGAATTAAAGCAAGATAGACGGGGATTGGAGAGAAAGGATGAAGTGTTTTGACCAGTAATACACAATAAAAATATTTTTTTAATGTCGGTATACCTGAAATCGGGAAAATTGATAAGGGTACATATAATAGATTTTGATAATTGCTTGATAAATAAATATCATACAATAAAATCGATAAAGTAGTTATAAGTGAAGATATAGTGTTACCAGAATCACACGAGGCAATAGATAATTGTTAAAAATAGGTAGTGTGATGACTTACAAGTGTAGCAGGTACGAGTGGAACCTTGGAAATCCATCTTGACTTTATGGATTCAAGATGATACGAATGATCGAAGTCTGTCAAAATGTAGATAGTGTTAGCGAGTGAAACCCCATTAGAAAATGGAGTATGGAGTATTATGCCATGTAACCGTTGACTGGCACAGACAAACGGTCTTCACTCCACAAAGATTGAGTGCCAATACCAGTTTGAACACCACCCCCTCAAGCTGCCAAGTCACAATTTCATTGGAAGCTTTGAAGCATTTGTAGGTGCCGCCAAAGACCCAAGAGGTTGGTAGCAAGTGATAGTGATAGATATATAAAGACGACGTAGCGCAAGCAGGATGGGTGTATGTAGGGCTGATAGGGACACCGATTCGTCATGAATGCAAGGTGATGAGTGTGGGGGATTAGGCGATAATATCTGAGAGGCGCGTACTGATGCGTACTGATATGTACGCCCGTGCAGCGGGGTTCCAATGTTCAGTGCAGTGCACCAGAAGGGGCCACGAAGGAGGGGTTCATAGTCGCCAACACCAACACCAACACCAACGAATGATAGAGGATAAATTTGACATTAAGGTAGGTAGGTAGGAAGTTGAAGCTTACCGTAACTTTGATATGGAACAACAGCGTTGAATCACCGTTGACTTCAATGAACTTGACTTCGTAATCTAGAAGCGACCACGAAATAGACGTCGATGTCGTACTAGTCCTCGACGAGATTGTTAGTGGGAGGACCGATATGAAAACGGCGAACGATGTGTGTGGGTGTGTGTATGGGGAATAAATTTTTTTTATCGTGTGGTAGGAAGGACAACGAGAGAGAAGAAAAAGTATGTTGACGGAAGGATGATCGGTTAGTTAGCCTGTGGAAGGAGTTGTTGGATGGTGGGGTGATGAATGTCTAGGTCGAAGCCAACGGCCTGAAAAACAGAGATTTCAAGGCAGCGGCAATACAGAAGGGGGCGAGATGCTAAGCGGCAGGTACACGAATAGGTACCCTAAGTACTTAAAGATGCCGCATCTGCGCATATATTTATACACGCAGTAAGGTATATGTACTTACGAGTAACTTGATGTCGAAAAGCGTCAACGTACCTGAAAGAATAGATAGGTATACAATTTTAAGTATGTATACCGGAGGGAGGAGAGTGTTGAAATTTAATTTAGAGTTGATGTTTGGGGCGAAGGAAAGAATCTTATTATTATCGATTTCGCCGAAGAAGAACGATACAACGTCCTAATCGCTAGGTATTGAAATTCTTGTGGACGTAATAGCGTAATAGCGGTTGATTGCTAACCATAAAAAATTTTGTGGGCTTCGCCAAATTCCAATTCCATTTAGGACGTCGGCTGGCTATTCTGCCCATTTTAGCGCCTAAACGGCACGTGCGATACTTTACCGCCATTTTTGTACAGTACAAGTAATATATCACTATCTAGACTCACTATCTACCTGGACATTAGGTCATATATCTTGTCGATCTAGGTCCTGTGGGAGTCTCTTCGACCTCTTTTATTCTAAGGTTTGATTCGATAGGTCCCTTCGACAGACCACATGTAGCCTAATCGCTAACTGACCACCTACCTCTTAGAGTCTTAACTCCTGGGCTCTTAGACACATGAAAAATAAGCAATGTAACACGTTCAATAATAAAGCTTTTCTTTTCTTTCTATCAATACAGTGTCTCATAATTTTATTTAATGTAATATCACTTTTACTACAAACACTCGACGTTCAAATTTCCCGGCTCATAGAACGCCCTTGTCTCGAGTTAAATATTTGGTATCAATGAGCATAGTTATGATAAGGTGCCGGGAAAACTATCTAGGTAGATACCTAGCAAAGGGGTTGGCTTTATTTGATATATACCTCCAACGTTCCTGTCAAAGTTGGATCTGTACTTCTTCACATGGCAAATAGTCAAGTTCCTACTTCTTACTCGCACTATGACACGAATATATAAGTCAACTAGGCACCGTACGGTAATGAATAAGTGGGCTTCGATTGTTTCTCATACCGTAGCCATACGTACTTCAATATTTGTTTCTCATCATATAAATGGCTGGAGATTATGGCAATGCCTTTAGGCACTACCTTCGGTGAAGAGGTAGGTATAAAAATTAAGGAGACTCATGTAGTATGTGTTAATGTACCCACTCCAATCCACCTCCATACTTGAACAAACTCACGCCTACGTAGAGCTATCATCTCTGCCGACTATATATACTGTATTTGAATCAAACTTTCCAGATTGCGGTAACCCTAGCTCGGTTACGTTGAATAATCTGCGAGAACCTTTAATATTATAGTCATATCGCATTATCTACCGAATTATTCTACAATAGGTACATTGTGAATATTCGATCATGTTATTATTTTATTTGACTAGCTAAGTTGAAGATTCTGCCGTCCCGGAACGCGACTTTCCGAGAACCAGCATAGGAAATAATTGGTCTGAACTAACGGATATCAAATTGGGTAGTCAACGTAGTGGTTCTAGCCTGGTGACGAACTGTTCATGTTATATGGGCTGCGCTTTAACACGGTGAATAGAATTCGTGCGCTATGCGGGATGGGGGATCATATGCAGCCCTACCTATTTCATCCACAATCGGAAAACCACCCCCGTTTGCAAGTTGCATGTAACATGGATTTTGCGAATCTAGCGCGTAAATGAAACTATGAAATCACTCTTTCAATATTCCGGTTCTAATGTCGCATCTAAGTCCGTAATTGGAGACCTACATATTGGGATACATAAATAAATCAATACACATTCCGAATGAGGAATTCCACATCAATCCCTTCGGGGCTAGCTTCCAATCTTATGTAATAGGTACCTAACTAGCAGGATTAGGCAGCTTAGTTGTGCACAGACCACCATTTTCCTAATGTGGCGGAAAGCGCTTCTCAGCGCGTATGACTCTTCCAGCACGCGTCATAGGTTACCTGAGTCGTACCTTCGTCTTTACCAAAACTTTCATTGCTCGAAACCCCCAAAGTCAACTAATCAAACATTCATGACGATGCATTTATGGGTTATGTTTACCTCTTATAGCTAAATTAAACGGCGCGGTCAACTCATTCCTAGATGGAGAACTGGTTCAAGGACGTGGGTAGGCCTGCCCTGTTTGATGCTTTAACTGGAGTCTGTAATAGAATTGATAATGAGCTTGATGAAGGTGCGTCTAAATGAACCTTATACATGCATCTATCTTTAAGAAAAAAAATACTAAGTTGGAATATAGGGCTTAAATCATATAGAGATGAAAATGCTCGGCTTTCTGCCGAGCTCGAAAATTTAAGGACTAGGGTCTCTGATGCAGATCGATTTAAGGAAGAGAACCTCGCTCTAAAGAGAGAGCTTCAAACCCTTAAAAACAGCGGTCATGCCAGCATCTTGTCTATAGACCAATCTAAAGCCCGCGATGACGCTGGAAATGGCCGATCCCCTCTCACGCCCAAGTCTGTGAACCAAGTTTCGAATTTTAAGCCATCTACTAAATTAAGCAAACTTGACATCGATGAACTAGGCGGCACCGTGCTCAAGGGGGAGTATCTTAAACTGAACGGGAACTACACGAAACTGTACAAAAAGTATTCGGAGCTTGAGGATGCTCATGCGAAGTTAAATCAGCGACTTCGAGATAAGACGAAAGCCTACAATCAATGGATGGATCATGCAAATCAGTTGGATGAACTGTGCAAGAAGCGTAGTCGGATAATAAAGAAGTTAGAAGCCAAGCTGGACGCGGCGGCGGCTGCAGTAGCATCTGGTCCATTGGACGGAAGCTTTTCGTCAGACACACCGGTTCCACCTGCGAATAGGGGTCAGGTGGCTACTCGCAAATCTATTGATTCCGACGTTCCTGACCGGCCTAGGTCTGCGAGGCTCGATCCCTCGTCGAAAGAAACCTCGCTGATACGGCCGCCCACTAATATTGACGAAAATAGAAGCGATTCTCCTGGGAGAGTATCCCTACTAGAACCGATGCGAATAAAGACACCGGCACAAATCAGTCCAGATAAAAATAATACAACTGGCCCGGAAAGTTGTGCCAGTACCGTGGATGACGAATCATATCAATTGCCACCTTTCCCGCAGCACCGAGATACTAATCCGAGGGAGGTGCTCGTTAAGACCGAACCCTCTTCCGATCCCCCAATCATAGTATCGGAGCGCCGTGTACGCAAGAGGAAACACGATGATGGCCAGGCCGAATATGTCACTAAGGTTAAGACGGAAGATGGTTCCGATCCGCTGATCATAAACGAACGCCAGCACTTTATGCCACAAGAGAGCATTGACTTTGACGCTGAGGGGGGTAGAGTGGTCACACCGAGGAAGCGTAATAGGACAAATCTTGACTTCGAAGACGTGTCCGTTTCGGGCTCGGCTGGAATTACTGGGTCGCACGCTGGTAATAACCGGCTAAGCAGGTTAGAAGACCCTCCGGTACGCAATACGACAAGGAAGAGGGCTCTCCCCCCTCAGTTTCTATCGGACGAGAACCTTGACCACCCACAAGTTGGGAATGATCTATTGGCGCCACAATCTGGACTTTTTGGCCCTACTGCAGCGATTCAACGGAAACCAGGAGGGGACCACTTGACCAAGCAAAAGGGTCCGTCTTCTATAAGGGCTAGTCTAGCCAATATCACAGAAGATGACGCCCAAAACAAAACCCCGAGGACTACTAAGAAGAGGCCAAAAACGGGTCTTCAAACTCTTCTCAATACTCCTTCGCCAGGCCACGGGGCTATTAACCCATCACCTACTGTGCAGTCAGACCATGCACGTATATCGAGAGAATTCGAGTTTCAAGCTCCGCAGAGACGTGAGCTACCTTTTAACAAGAATGATCCGAGGAAGACATCCAAGCTGCCACAATCTTACGATACCCCGGAAACATCACACAGCAAACGAACTCCCGGAAATACGAACGCGAAGCGACCATCTGACGATAGAGAAAAAGGTAGTACGCCCGGCGGCATCCGGCCTTTGCGAGAGCGGCCCAAATCCGAACTTGGCATTGCTGACTTCAAAATTAACCCGAATTCCAATGAAGGCTATGACTATGCCTTCACTGATGTTGTTCGAAATAAGAATGAACGAGCTAGCTTGGAAGGGTGCGTCCAAGAAGGATGCTGCGGCCAGACGTTTCGGCTACAAGCACGGGCCAAGCGTGATCAGACGGGGACGGTGGACTTTCAAACCTTATTAGAAAAACATATGGGTGATGAAGCTTGGAAGTTGTCGACCATGACTAAAGCTGAGAAGGAAGAATTATGGCTTGAGGCTAAGACGCGAGAGCTTGCTAATGAGCATGGTAAGCATCGCCATAGATTCCATCGTGCCGCATCCCCAGTAGGTTTCTGGCGGGCGGATTTCCCGAGCACCCAGGAGGAACAACGTGATAGAGAAGAAGCGGCGAAGGTGACACGTCGAATAGTTGATGAAAGATATCGCGAGGCTATGCGACCTGGCGGAAGATGGGTTTTTAGGGATGAATAACGTCCGGTTCGCTGTTAGAATTCAAAGAAGATTTAGGGGCAACCCTATGGTGCACTTGATTTTGCTGGCGTGGAGCATAGCATTGTTGCTTTATCAACGGAAGGGGAGTTGTGTCAAGCAAGCATATTTAGGAACAATGAAGATAGAAAAAGAGCATTTTAGCAGGATAATTAGGTACTTTTGCCAACACCGTCTGTGCTTTTTTGTGTTAGCTTTTATTACACTCATACGAGGCGTGTTTAAGCAAACTTTCGACTAACTAGCCGAAGGCTGAATTTGAATCTTGAAACGTGAAATAAGGATACATCTAACTATTTAAAGCCACAGCTTTTCTCAAGCATAAACGATATAGTCAAGAGCGAGATAATATCGAACTATTATAGCTGCATGCATCCAATATATTGAATTGAATACGTAATCTAAGTGCGGTATCTCATACAACAACGGATGGTACGTACCTACCTAACTTCATCAAATATAGGGCACATTGAGCAGTTACTACCTCTAATGTATAATAAATGTGGCTAGTGTCCGTGGCTGGGAAAGTGTGCTCCGTCAGCCGGGCTGGCGCAGGATTATTATTATTAGCTTGAGGTTAGGTACTATGTAATCTCAAAAGGGTCCGAAAACTTTAGAAAAAGTCAGAACACAAATTATTAGCTCGGTTGACCACAACAACCCCGGTCAACTTTAACAACTTCTTCAACGCGCCAACAATTTGAGCAATGCCATAAATAGGTAATTTATTTCCTGGGTCTCTATACCTGCCTTTGAACGTCGTCTTTCCTCTTTGCGTACCCAACCTAAGTGTACCTTCTCACACCCGTTATCCACTTTCTCGTTTAAGGCTCCTATGAGGCAGCGCCACTCGTTTCTATCGTCCTTCTCGGCTGCGGAAGTGGATCGGAGCTGATAACACAACTTGACGCAACTTGACGCTTCAACTATTCAGCGCGCAGCCTTCGAGCAAACAACAACCCCCAAGGCCAAGGTTGCCCGTTCGTCGCCTCCGCGCAAACAGAGTCGCAGTTCGAATATTGGCGACAGTTTACGTCGCAGAAGCAGTGGATAGCCACTGCTTCGTCAACCCCAAGCCGGCAAGATGAACGGTAGTCATCTGCCGGCTGGGCAGCCTATGCCAGGAGGTATCCCCGGAGGAGCAGTTGTGGCGCGAGGACAAGTTGATATGGGACCTGGCCCAGGACCTGGTGGTCGACGGCGGCCGCCGCAACATCAGTATTCAGCTCATCATCAATATCACCACCAGCAGCATGTCAATCCCATATACCACCATAACGGGTATATGGCTCCCTATCCTCAGACGTACTATCCTCAGGTTTCGCATCACTATCAGAATGGCGCCATGGCCAACGCATCATACATGCAATACAACCAGTTTCCTCAACGATCTCCTCCCATAATTCACCAGCAATATCCTCCTATCGTGTCCTCGAGCATGCAGCCTATTCCTCAGCCTCCTTACTCTCGACCACCTCCACCACAACAACCCTCGCCGGCTCTTTCGACCCCTCCTCCTTATGTCGTAGCCGCGCCGCCTCCACCCGTCTCCGTACCCGAGACGCCCTCTTCAACACACTCGTCTCAAGTTCTTCCGGCCCCATTGACTCCCCCTACGCCACAAAACCAAGAAGCTGCCCCGGCCACCCCGGATGTCGAGTTGCGGCCGACCCAGTCACCGTTTAGACCTCCAGTAAGTTGTAGAACCCCTTATAGTAAACCGATCCACTCCAGCTAACCCTCGCTCGTAGCTGCCCTGGTTATCGCGACCTGATATACCCTTTCCTACCAAGTCAGCTCGATCCAGGAGAAAAAGACGGATACAAAATCCTGATGCGGAGAATGTCGAATTGCCCTCGAACCAAGCAAAGGGAGTTGAGTCGGGAGCTGTGTCACAGGAAGAGGCTTTGGGAGGTGATGCCTCACTACTTTCGACCCCTACACTCAAATCTTCTACTGCTACTATTCCGGCTAGCACGGACGCCGAGCTACCAACACAGCCCGAAGCTGGATCAACAAAAGATGAGACCCCGGAAATCTCACAGGCCGTCCCGTCTGCTACTCCTCAGTCAGCTCAAGCAGCTCAGCCTGCTGCTGCTACATCTGCCAAGCACGCTAAGACAGCCTCTCTCGCGGCTATACCAGCCGTTCCCATCGTCCCCGTAAAACCCAAAGCAGGTCCCAAAGAGACAAATTTATCTAGTGTTGAGACTAAATTAGTAGAGGAGAAACGACCCACACAGCAAGCAGCAGCAGAGGAAAAGCCCGCTGAAACTACAGAGACTTCCCCAGAAGCATCTCGAGCAGAAGCAAAAGTGGAGCCCGCCCCTGTTGCCGTAAAAGCTGGCCCAAAGCTCTGGACGGGGTTATTTTCACGTGCAGCATCCGCCGCTTCTCCTTCAACTGGCGCTACTGGTGCTGCATCAGCTGCCATTGGCGTTACAACAAACAGTATCCCCGACAACACTGCTTCAGGTAATGGGGGTGTAGGTGTAGGTAGCTTTACAAAGTCAAACACTAGTTCTTTGGCTGAAGCTTTACGATCGTACCGCGTGGGTGGCGGCCAAAAGATTTCGTTTCTAGAGCCTAGGGGTTTAATCAATCCCGGGAACATGTGTTATATGAATTCGGTAAGTCATGGTGGCTTGGTTTGCAACGGAAGTTGGACTAACAGTATCCAGGTTTTACAAGTTCTCATTTTCTGCATTCCATTTTATGACTTCTTGGACCAGGTCAGCAAGAAAGCGGCATATAGTTTTAAAAGCGAAACTCCCCTAATTGATGCCATGTAAGTATCTAATCTACCTTGTTTACATAATTTACCCTCGATCCGTCTAACATTTCTAGGATTATGTTCATGCGCGAATACAAAGTTATCGATTCTGCGGTGTCCGTCGAACAGCTTCGGAGGAGACTGAAAAACGAAGAACTTGAACAGTATGGTGAACCTTTCACCCCTGAATTTGTTTATGAGGCTATAAGGAAGCTTCCTAGATTTGCTAGCATGAGGGTAAGTTCTTTTACCCATCTATTTTAAGGCGATCTAACAAGATTATGCAGCGTGGACACCAGCAAGATGCCGAAGAATTTCTTGGTTTCCTTTTGGAAGCACTACACGATGAGTGCGCACAAGTAATGCGCAACCAACCAGATTCATCTGCTACGACTACCGCCGCAAACTCATCAGCCGCCACTCCTTCGGCAACGTCTCCTACGAGTACACCAGATACTAGTGATTGGTTAGAGGTAGGGCCGCGTCAACGCTCTGCTGTTACACGTTCTTCCGGCCACCCAATTACCTCGTCTCCCATCACCAAGGTGTTTGGTGGACAGCTAAGATCGGAATTAAGGGTACAAGGCCTAAAGGATTCCGTAACTCTAGAGCCTTTCCAACCTCTTCAATTAGATATCGGTTCCCCTCAGGTCAACAACATCGTTGATGCATTAAAGGCACTTACCAGACCCGAAATTCTACATGGTGATTTTAGGTCGCCAAGAGGAAAGGATGCGACGGCCACCAAACAAGTTCTCATCGAATCCCTACCGCCAGTCCTCATCCTTCACTTAAAGCGTTTCCAATTCGATACTGAAGGGACTGGAACTGTCAAGATCTGGAAGAAGGTTGGATATCCACTGGAGCTCGAACTTCCCAAAGAGCTTTTCCCACGACAGAAGAGAAATGCTCTTACCGTTGAAGGTGCAGGCTTCCCTAAATATAAATTGATCGCTGCTGTTTACCATCATGGTAAGAATGCAAGCGGTGGGCATTACACTGTTGATCTCAGACGCCAAGATGGTGCAGAATGGATCCGTATGGATGACACGGTTATCCGACGAGTAAGAAGCGAAGATGTGGCTGAAGGAGGCTCCGAGGACGAAAGTTTGAAAACTACGGCGCGGGTTGACAAGAAGGACACCGTCGCAAGCGGCTCCGGTAACAGATTCGAAGGAATTGGTGACGATGAAGCCGGTGACGATGAAGGATGGAATAAAGTCAGCGCTCCGGTAAATGGCGCAAAGAAATGGAGTTCCGTTGTTAACGGAGCATCGAACACTGCGCAGGCGAAAGGGAAGCAGACTAAGGACAATATCAAGGACAACAAGGTTGCCTACCTGTTGTTCTACCAGAAAGTCTAAGGAGCTACGTAGCTTCGGTTCGACAGACAGAACGACGGCGGTCGGCCGCCACTGCTACAAAAAGTTTATATTCGGATGGGGGCTCGGTATGCCTACCAATGGCAAGTACCGTCTTATGCCACGGTTGCTATGGTGTATCACAATTGTCCGAGTATGGCGGGGGGTATTCAGGGACTGGGGAAAAGGGGGGGGCGTAGTGGTTTTCGATTCGCAAGTCCCCGGTATCTTACCGTGGATACGACTGAATGGGCCGCCGATCCGGCAAAAGTATTTGCATACGGGGGGGACAACATTTGGGGAGCTTAGGTATGGTATCTCTTGTGGTCATCATCATACCCCTGAATCTTCATCTCGTCTACCATTAGTTCCTTATCTTACCTAACGACCGATAATGGAGATTTGCCATACCCCTTTGTAGAATAAAGAAAAGCGATTCACGAACTTAATAGACACGATTTCGTCAACATATTTTATCATATATGATTATACTTCTTTAGTTCTTTTCTTGATGATAAACTAATAATACTACATATAAATGGGTATCAATTTCGAAGCTTAATTGGGAATAATTCAAATCCGGTAGCGGTATAGGCCCATCAACGCCGTCTTACTCTCCTACGTTCGACCAGTTATACCACCCACCCGATTAAATCACGAACTAACTTTTCACTCCAGACTCGGGTTCTTACTCCTTAGGTTAGGTACCTCCTAAGGTACTTAAGCGCGAGCCGTCGTCAGAAAACTCAAATCGATGTTCCGACGGCTAGCCCAACTCGTCAGATGCGTAATAGCCCGGGAGTTCCCGCCATACAACCGCTCGTAAAACCAGGTGTTGCGATTGTCGACCCGCTTCACCTTGGCCGGCAGGTACACGTGGACGTGCGTGGGCATGAAATTGCACACGTCCTCGGTCGAGCCCTCGCCCTCTGAGAACTCGAAGCACGCGTGCGGCAGGTCGCCGGCCGGGTCGAACGGGAGACCGCGCAGATCGGTGCGCACGTCGTACCGGTTCAGACCGCGGCCGTGGACGACGGCGTCCAGGACGCGCTTCCCGGCGTCCATGTACGCGCGGTCGCGAGGCGTCGGGCCCGTGGCGATTCGTCGGCCGGTGCCGCGGCGCTCGGGGGCCCGGCGCTCCGGCATGCGGATTACGATCTTGGGCATCAGGACGGCGGCGCCGGTGCGCCAGAGCTCGCCGCGGCCGTGGTGCCATGTCCCGTCGGGCCGCAGGTCGACGGCGGACAGGCGGATCGTCACGCGGGGGACGATGTCGCCGGGGAGGTGGAATTCCTGGCTGACGATGTCTTGGATGCTGCGCTTGACGCCGGCGAGTTGGTCTTGGAGGTCGTTGGTTAGGGCGTCTTCCGTCCAGGTCGGGTTGGTGGTGCGTCTGGGCTCGAGGCGCGTGTGGGCGCGCTCGACGAAGTTGTCTACGAGGGTGGGGCCGACGTTTATGTTGGGGATGAGCGGTGCTGGGCGGTTTCGCGGGCTGCGGGGTGGTAGGGGAGGGGATGGCGCGGTGTATAGGGGCATGGGGATGGGGTAGGGAGATGTAGGGTATGGAACTGTAGGATAGGGCGCCGTCGGGTATGGAGGCATAGGGTATAGAGGTTGCGGCGGCATTGGCGGTACTGGTAGTGATGCCGAGGGGTAGTTGTTAGACCGGCCCTGACGGCCGTTATGGTAGTAGTTGTTAGACGCCATGGAGCTTTCTTTATTATATGCTCGTGCTTATTAGTCTACCTCCTTTGTCCTTTGTATGCCTCTATCGTACGCCCTAGTTAGGTTAAGTACTTGGATTAATTAGGGAGTAGGGGTGTTGGCTAAGGTACCTTAGTTGCTCTCTCCGACGCAGAACTCGGAATTGTTCAGAAGGACCAGAGAGGATTAAATAGTCTTCGTTTCTTGTTCCAGAATAATAGACTTGTATGCTTCATAGTTGAATCATGGTGTTGTGGTGGTGAATCAGGGCTCCAAGATTCAGAGCACAAGTTCATTGTTCGGTAGCCACTCGCCATTGTTGGCGGATTTCATTGTCACTAGTTTGGGCTGTTCTTTGTGTGATTCAAGACGATTTAGGGTGGGAAGTTTGGACTAAGAAACGTAGAAGGGAATGAATCACTTTGTGTGAGATGGGTATTAAGTGTATTGTACGATTCACGATTCCACGGAAATCCCGAGCAAACCACCTACGCATGGACATGAATGAAATTCAGGACTTTGGCAGCCGAGCCGACGGCAGACCGAATTTAGCCCATCAAAGTGCGGATGTATACGTATTATACCAGGCAGCAAGTGCATATTCCATAATTCTACTTCCTTCGCTTAATAAGGAATTGATATTGTGACGAGAAGTCATCCCGATCCTTTCACTAAAATCGTAGTTCCAACAACTTGCTTATTTCCCTAATAAGTACCTACGTATAATTATATCCTTCTGGAATCTCTCCGTGAGAGGTAATGATCCCATAGCACATGCAAATTATTATATGTATTTTAGGGGTGTTGGTACTGTCGACGACAATACTCACCTAATTATACCTAGCACCTAAAGGTCGCGTCGGGGTCACCCGGCGACATCATTTCCATGGCTTCTTCCTTACAACCTAATAATAGGAATATCTAGAACTATCGACAACCTTCTCCTTCCGAAGTTGCGCTATACGAGCTGAACAGCCTTACAGCTTGAAAGGGGTTTAGGTTGGTAGTTTTCTCTTCATGATTCACTAGAAGAACTTTTGTTCTCGAACTGTGTAGAATTGTAGTTAGTTATATCATTCTTATACTCTAATCATAGCCTACATGGTATTTATTTATGTATTCATTGAGCTGTGTGCCCTGTGTCATCGGTAAGGGTACCAGATCCTACTGTTCGGCCAGTGTCACTGGTTACCTCTTAGCTGGATTAAATAGAGAGGCTGATTCATTTGTATAACTCGGCATCACAAAGGATGGTGAAATGGAATAACAAAATCAGAATAAGGCAGAATTTGGAGGTTTCACTCAACCAACAGAGCAGTGCAACCACACCAGATATCTAGGCAGCAACACCAGGCGGCTGTGAGCTGTCAACTAAGGTTAGGTACCTTAACTCAAGTATCACATTATGCAGGCCTTGTAGTTATTGTATTTGACTTGTAGGGCAGACTTTTTGTTAGGTGTTTCATGTTTCACATAATGACGAATGGTGGTGGTGTAAGTTTCTCAGCTGTTAAACTATATAAGTCACGGCCCACGTTGAGGTCCCCGGCGAGGTGACCAGGTCTGTAACTCAGGCCTCCGTTACTGAGGCCTCACCAGTAACTGATGATATTATGATGACAGGCCTCCAGCGTAAGCGCTATGGTCGGAGTATACCGAATTAAATATCAAAAGCGGTAAGAGATAGGTAATAATCGCTAGTTAACTAGAGGTTATTGCCAGCGCCAGGAGAGTGGTAGTTACAGTTGTTGATCAAGTTATCAGATTTGCAAGGCTAATTCCTAGCTCAAGTAATCATTTAATAACGAAAGCCAAATTTACAAAATTTATATTATAAATGAAACGAAAAAAGATAAAGCTTTCTCGAATTAATCCTTCAAAGACTTCTTAGTATAGTTAGATGGTTTATCAGCTTAAATAAGTTGGCATTATGTTAATAGCATATTATAGATTTGATCAGATCCGAACTACGTAAAACACTACATATTGAACTTATAAAAATAAATTTAATGTATGCTCTAGCTTATCTATACAATTATCGCCTAGGTAAGTAGGAAATATTTCATCTAACAAGTAGCGCGAGCATAGGAAAGGGGGGACTTCCAGGATTTGATAGGACGGTCAGGGGTTGATATTATCCACTCGAAGATGTGTAAGGCATACTAGCAAAATGCCCATTAGCCGTTCCCGAAAAGCGTTCTCGGCCCAGTAACAGGAGGCCAGAAGACGGGCGAGGAAAGCAAGCGAATCGTTAGGTCAGGCTTATGTTTCCGATACCTATAGCGCCATGTCTCACGATAAAGCTTTTTCAGCGCCTCTAGGTCTCACTCAGCCCAGTCCCATGTAGTCGTTTTTCTTTTCTTCTTCTTCTTCTGACCTTTTCTCCCGTGTTCTATTATTTTCACCTAGGTATTCATCAACCTTGCTTTCCCCCCTTTATATTAGGCCGCAGTAGTTTACACGATCACCCATCCTATGTACAAGGATTTAATAAGAGGTAGGTAGGTACTTAGATCCTGACAACTTCTTCTTCCATACGATAACGTCTTCGCCATAATTAGTGGCAGATACATTAATACACTTATGTGCCACATGCGGCCCTTTGCCCTTTTTTCACAAGAAGTATCTACTTCATTTTAGCAACCTGGTAGACTTGCTTAGTTCATGTCAACAGATAGGGGTGTAAAACAATAAATACATGAGGCAAGTCTATCCTAAGGAATCTAAAGATATTACTTGGGTACCTAAAGTAGGTACATAATCAATTCGTTATAATAAAAATATATTCCCCAGATCTTCGTACTAAAATAGCCGTCTTATATGCCAGGTAGCCACCACCTTATACCAATGAATTCAAACATCCTTTAACCTTCAATGTTTTAACCTGAACATGAAAATTTAAATTTCCAACCCTAGGAATATAGGTAACTCAGCAATAAACAAAATCACCATTACAAAAGTATAGAAACCTAAAGATAGATAGATTTAAGAATTTCTTGTATTAATTTTTTTTCATTTCATGATAGCTTCGAGTCTTCAGTCTGTATCAAGCTACCACCCCAGACTTATTTATAGGTAGGCAGCCGTTTCACGGCGCAACCAACCATCCACAATGTTGCGATGCGACCCAGCGATGGGAAAACAACAACAACAATGTCGTTGCGCATCAACCCCACTCCAAACCGGGATATATACACGAACCCATCAATCTATCCTCCTCCTTCTTCTTTGTCTAACTCTAATCGGCTGGTAGGACCTCTAACATCTAGGTTAACTGTACTGTACTGTACCCTAGGGTATATCTATATATACCTTATATATGGCTCATTTCTTAACCCTGACCCGAATACCCTTGGTCCCCTTCCACGGCAGCGACAGTATCATCTCGCACGCGATATCCACGTCCTTGCGCGTCGTCTCGTACAGCTCCAGCTCGTGCCGGCGGAAGATGGTCGCCAGGCCGATGTAGATCTCCGCGTAGGCGAGGTACATGCCGACGCACATGCGGGTGCCCTTGCCGAAGCCGACCATGTAGTGGGTGAGCGGCTTGGTCTTGCCGTCGAGCGGGGGGAGGTACCCGGCCTTCTCGAGCAGCTCCGGCTCGACCTTCGGGTCGCCGAGCCAGCGCGAGGGCTTGAAGGTGTGCGGGTCCGGGAAGAGCACCGTGTTGTGGTGCATCGTCCAGATGTCCATGCCGACCGGGACCCCGGGCGGGATCACGTAGTCGCGATAGGTCCAGGCGGCGGTCTTGTTGATGCGTGGCATGCGCTCGCTGACGGCACAGGCTAGACGGAGACCTTTTCGAAGGGGAAGAAGATGTTAGTAATTTGGTTTTTTTTTTTTTTTTTTTTTTTTTTTTACTTGATTGGCGTTGTCGTTAATGAGTGGAACTTACTTTCGTTGACGATGGCCGTTAAGAATGTGAATGTTTCAAGCTCGAACCAATCTGGAATTTGGTTGGGGTCGGGGATCCTCTCTTGGAGCTCAGCTCGGAGGCGTCGTTCAACGTCAGGGTTGGCCAGGATGTGGTAGCAGGCAACACTTAAGGTCCACTTGGTCGTATCAATTCCGGCGGCAATAGTAGATATAGCCTCGTCGCGTAGTCTTTGGTAAGTTAACTCCTCGGGAGGTAATCGAGATGTGAGAATGTCGCGGTAAAGGGTAGGGAGAGGAGACTCCTTAGCTTCGGTGTTTCGGCCTCCAACCATGTCGGCTACTTGGCTTCCAATTTCCTATCGCGGGAGTTAGTTGAGTTCTTTTGGTCTGTATCTTGTGATGAGGCTGGCCCCGTAATGTGGTGCCTAAGTATGTCTTACCTCCTGGGCGTCGACGACCGACTTGATTGGTGGTACAACCGTCTTAACAAGCCATCCAGGCAATGCGGATACCAAGTATTGTATGGTGCTGAAATGCATGAAAGTGTGACTGGTATATAGCAGATCCGACAACCCTATCGCCAAGGAGCTCTTGAAGTCTGGGGCATCAGTAAAGAGCTTGGGTCGAGCAAAAGCCACTTCCATGATGACGTCGCTTGATAGCGATCCCCATACGTAGGAGAGGTTAACGACCTTTCCGGTGCCAGCATATTCAGTAGAGAAACGACGAGAGATACGGTCGACAACCATCTGGACTCGGTGGCCGTGGTCCCGCGATCTAGCACGGCTGTAGAAGGCGGCCATGGCACCTCGGCGTTGACGATGTTTGGCAGAGTCGATGGTCCCGAAAGCAGCGAGCGGCGCGCCGATGCTACGGGCAAACATCTCGACCTTGTCGAACTGCTTGTTTGTCGCATAGACGACATCGAAGTATGCCGGGTCGTCCACATGGAGCTCGAACGGGTTTATCCGTACGATAGGACCTTTATTCCATAATTATTAGTGTCGTAATATCTTTATGTGTGTAGAGGTTGACCCACCATATTTCTCATGCATCTGCTTGATCTTGAAGATATACTGCCCGCCACCCTTCTTGAAGATGTTATAGTAGATTTCATACCACGACGTGAGTGCAGCAAGCTTTGGACCGGGGAATTTAGCCAATGGGCTTAGATATAATCGGTAGACGACGAGGGATACCATATAGCAAAGCCAAGCGCTGAAGGTAGCGGCTAATAAGGCGGTGCCATATTGCTGGAACAGCGAGATGACATCTCGTGTATTCCAGATGGCGATAGCCATTTTCTCTTCTCTAGTAAGTGAGCAAAACGAATATAATATTAGAATATTAGTTATAATATTCTATAGTATTGTTATCACACAATGCTATGCCTTGGAGTTTCATGTATACTATATGGGCGTCCTCGAGCTTATTTATATCTCACTTCTGGTTACACACACGACGGCCTGAAGCGGCGTTTATAAAACAGCCATATCTAATTTCCGATATGTCGACGCCACGAGTCTCTCAAAGTGCTTACACCTCGCCAAAGGAAACTCGCGGTGAAGGCTGACCTCACCCATCGCGATGCAGTCAGCGTCGACATGGTTTATTCTGCCAAATCCTCCGAATCCTAAGCTGCAGGAGATCGTGCTGACGAACCAATGATCGTCGTGGCAAGACGTCCAAATGCAAGGCAGCCGAAGCCAAAACTTCCTGATAAGTGATAACATCTATCGTTGTTAGTCTTCTTTACCTAGTTCTTTAGAAGAGTAACCCCGGTTCCAAGAGACTATCCGAAGCTGACGCGCATGGGGTAGTCCGTACTTGGTTTCAAGAATTACCGTTTTCTCCCATCCATCCAGCCATCTCACCTGTGCCGTCCCTTGGCGTCTTTTCCGGAAAAAACGCTTGGTCGATATAGCTGTTAATCTTCATCACCTAATGTCAGCGATGTGGGGCAGTGATGCTTGAAACTTCCTTGATCGTTAGGGATCCTGGGATCTTGTATCTTGTATGAGACTCGTCAACACCGAAAGCGTCTCCGGGATCTGTGCCGGCAATAGACGCCCCGGAGCTGTTATGGGAAGCGCTAGTCTCTTGTGTGCATATACATGCGCCACGAAGAAGCACCTAGCCGGTCCAAGGATGTCCCAGACTAGAGTGCATTATACCATCTCCATTTAGGCCGGTTATGTTTCGTGCTGGTATTTCATGATATGACGAAACGAGGCTCTAGATATCATCATTGACCGGGATCCATGTTGCGTTACCTATCATTTATCTCCCTTCAGTAATACGTCAACGCGGCCGGCCCCCATAGACCGCCGGGGGTAAAGCTCCAGCCCCACATCCCCGGGACTCGAGCATGCGATCGATCGACAGGGCCGTGTCGGGGGTACGAGGTATTTGATTTTCCCCATGCGGAAGTCTCAAAGAAGTAGGCAAATCCCTTCTCTGAAATTCAGTATAGTGAGTCTTGGCTCATAAGGTCTGAATGGCTCGTGCGAAATTCGGCTAACCAGTCAAATATGTCATCTTTTTGATCGTAAAAATCGATCGTAAGCACCTTTCCTATTAAGTTGATGAACGGCAGACTGCAGTGAGGTCGGCTAAATGTCCTAGATAACAGGGAGCTTGCTTACTGCTAGTCAAGTCAAATGACACATTATTTTCGTAGCAAATTACAAATCAAGTAACTCAGATACTGAGAGTCTGAGATGTGCTTCACTGTATAAGTAAGTCACTATGTACGAGTGCGAGACTCGAACATCAATCTCTCCGGAGCTTGTTAGCGTCTAGGTGAAGAGAAAAGTACCGTGTTAAGTGATGGTTTGGGTTCTTACTATCTATGCTGACTTGACATACCCGGTGGCACAGTAAGAAGGATCTGAAAACTGATCAATAACTTTGGGCTAACATGTCCAGCATGTCCAGGGATAGAACAGTATGCCGAAAGGTGACTGACTATTTTAAAGAGCTATCCTTAGGAGTGTTGAAGGCTGAAAGGAGTGCTTCCGAAAGGAGCAATAAACTCTACAAGGAGTATCGAATTCTGAAAGGAGTATAGTATCTGTCTGACAAGAGTATTAAAGTCTGACAAGACTATCTAGCTGTTAACCGTTAACCGTCGATAGGATTATTAAAGTTTCGAAGGATTATTAAGCTTCGGAGGGATTGAGATGTTATTGAAGATATTACTAGATTGCCCCTTTTGAAATCGGAGGGTTTCCTATTGGCTCGAAAAGCGACGTCTCTTCCTTGAAGATCAACCGCCCACAGCGGGTTGCCTTTTAATTGGCCCAAGGTAATTACCGCATCTTACATAACACTAACTTGATGGAGTTTACGGGGTTTCGTAGGATGACTATCCCAGTTGCTATTTTAGTACATAGCATAGCTGAGGCTGAAGATACGATACGACACGATTCGATTCACACATGCTTATCACATTCTACAGATGCAACGCAACCCAAGAATGACATAATTCGCTAACCGGAAATATGATCATGACGCAAGCCAGCTTCGAATTACTTAGTCACTAGGACATGTGCGTTGGTAGGTAATGGAAATATTTTTTTATTTGAATTCTCAGATGAATTAAGTATCTTAGCACCAAGTTGCTTTACTCAACCACGAGATACGAAAGTCGTGGGTCTTCGCAGTATAAACACTCCGACTCCATCAGCCTATCTGGAGTTCTATGCGGTTGCCGTCATCCTCGTCAGTAAAACGTAACTAATCTGCCAAACCAACGCCCTAGTGATACATGTAGATGAATAGTAAAGTACTTATTGACGGTTGCTTTATCTCCTCATCTGCTGCAGTCTGCTGATCTCGCTGTTGAATCTAAGCTTGAAGCCGTTGCAGAGAGCGAGCATGTGCGGATATTGGGACCCCATCATCTCAAATGCGTGTGGTACTACTTTCACATCCCACATGTTGATTCGCGAAGTCTTGCTCGCCTTGAAGCATAGATAGAAATATCCAGCGCGTTTGGGATTGATGCAGAATAAATAGACCGAGCGGTTCGGATTGGCATCCGAGTACGAGGTTAGCCATTTTTCTGTCTTGGAATTAGCATCATTCAATTCTGGGCACGTGTCGAGGAAACTTACCGGCATCTGCGACGCTGCCCTTCTTGAACTTCTCGTGGCCCATCATTTCGTCAACTTTCTTTGCCATTGCCTTGACATGGTCCACGATCAGTTCATCGAGATCCGTGTACGTATATTTACCGCCAATACGAAGCGTCTTCCCAACTGAGAACTCGGTCTCCTTCTGTAGTTCGAGAACGTCGATGTGCTGATAGACTCCATCTGCGACCTTCCAGGTGACCGTGAGATGATCGTTGCCTTTTGAAGATGGTCGGATAACTACATCGCCCGACGACTGAGAACCTAGAAACTCTTCTGCCTGTGTAGAGTTGAACGGCTTGAACAACGGATGCTTGATCACTCGCTGCGTGCGACCCGTTGTCTTATCCTTCTCTCGTAGCGCATCCTTATCGTCGTCCTCCTGTCTAAAATCCCAAGTGCCACGATCGTGGTCGTTATGTTTCTTGTAGGGTCGCCGAAGTGCGTCTTCGCGTAAGGTGAGCTTCGCAAGGAATTCTTTGCGGTTGAGATCCACAATCTTGGCTTGAACAGTCTGGTTGACGTGGATAACATCCCTAATCGATACGTTACTTCTGTGACTGACCTCGTGGGATTCGATTCGGCCTTCGATACCGCAATCGAGCTTGGCAATAGCGAAATCATCCTTGACCACCCGTAAATTAACCGGGACGATCATGCCTTCTGCCAGTGAGTCCTTGGTTTCGCCGGTGAACATGACGAATACCTGGTCTGGAGTCAATGGGCTAAAATTCCGACGGAGTTCTTCGTATGGTGCCTGCAGTTCTGCTCTGATGGTTTCTAGAGTGGCTCGTTTCCGTTGGTTATAATTCTTCTCTAGCTGTTCGGCATATTCTTCCAAGATAAGCTCATTAACCTTCTCTTGCTCATCCTCTCGGAATAGCTTGCGGACTATCGCGCCGGCGCCGTTCTCGTCAGTCTCGGCCTTCACATCCTCTTCGTCTAACTCGAGGGCGTCTGCTGCCATTTTGCGACCGAGCTCGTAATCCTCAGGATGGACACGTGTGTTGTCTAGCGGCTCTGATGAGGGATTTGTAGCATCGTATTCGATATAAAGGAAACTGGCGCAATTATTCCAAACTCGAGGGCCAACTACTGGGAGCTTATTATTATCGGGGTCGCCAACAAGCTCGTCCCTCGAGTTCACGACGCCACCGTTGGTGTTGATAGCTTTGATAACACTTGTAGCCTTACGGGGACCTAGACCTGCGATATACGGTAGTAGGTTGGCCGTATATGCATCACTAACAGCCTCGTTAATATCAACACCACAAAGATTTACCATGTCCACCATCGAAGTCTCAAGATGTTTTAGTAACTTCTCTTGAGGAAGCAGGTGTTGGCAAGGATTGAATAACAAAGAGGTAATATCCTTCCCGAGAGCTGCATACTCCTTCATAGGATTTTGAAGGTATCTCGCTAGAGCGACACAGTACCTGGTGTTGGACGTCAAAGTTGGATGATCGGCCTGCGCCCGAGGGCTGTCTTTGTAGAGCCTTGCGACTTCATCATTAACAACTACGACCTCCAGTAGCTCGCTACGGAAGTCATCAGAATCCGGATCTGGGAATTCGGGACCCGTGAGATTCTTCTCGTTCACTAGGCTTTCCACATCACGAACTAATCGATGAGTATCGGTTGAGAAACCACTGACGCCAATTACGTCTGGTTTCCTGCGTTCAACCAGCTCGACGAAAGCCTCACGTTGCGATTCGTCGCGAGCAAGATTTCCAAATTTGCCATGCTCAATGACACGCCCATCTTCTTCAACCCAGACCCAGAAGACAGGGTCTCGAGCTGGGTCGCCCATTCCGTTTGACAAGGCGAGGACACGCGGGGTAGTGCCCAACACCATGCCCTTTGGCTTGTAAGGGGCTTGGTCAAGTCGCTTGGAATATTCCTCGCGGCATAGCTTAAGGAGCTCTTCCTGGCATGCTGTTCGCAACGAGTCCTTGACCCCTTTAGCTATCACCCTCTCAAGCTTAGCGAATGCAATATCGAGGACCTTCTTACGTTCCTCATTCCAAGCATCTGCAAGTTCGCTGTAGTTATCCGAAACAAATTCCGCCTGCAGCTGGCGCCGGAACTCTTTCTCGTTCTGGAGCCGGAGTCTGACCTCAATCAGGCCTTCCTCTTCTGCCTTCATCATCTTCAAGAAGAGCTCT